AATATATTTATCATAAATTATTCTATAATAGAATAACCTATTATGGAATATAAAAATTATTCTATATTATTCTATTCATCATCATTGTTGGCCAGGCCAGACAGCCCAATCTGAAGATTTCTCCATAACAATTTCTGATTTATCTTTGAATCCTAACACTTTTCATTAATTGCATGAAAATCAGACTCCAACGAGTCAGTCAATCTTAACCCTGACCTTCCCTGTTTTCTTGTTCCAGTGGGTGTAAAAAGCAATATCTTTTTTATTGTACAGTAGAGAACCGATTATCCGGAACGATCGCTATTCCGGATAACTGATTTTTCCGGTTTTCTGAATCGCTACAAAAAGCCGTTTTTTAAGTGTTGAACCCAACTAAAAAAAAAAAAAATATTTGGAAATAATCTTAAAAATAAGAAAAAACGATGAGGTAATACACTAATGATTATTTCTGAAATGATGGTAAGGTAAACATCTTTCAAAAAAGAAAAAAATCTTATGAGGAAAAAAAATTTTTTTTAAAAAAATTGCGAGAAAATGCATCGAATTTCGTTCCGGTTTTTTGGTTTTCTGATTTCCGGATAACGGGTTCTGTACTGTATTGTCATCACTCTAGCAAACTAATGCAACGATAGTTGGTATAGGATCCCCTTTCTTGTGAATTGCACACAAAATGCTAATATTCCTATCCTTTGGCATAATCTCAAATGTCGGCAATAAGTTCCTCAATAAGGTAGGTTCACAATTTTTTAGTTGTTCTGCTGAAATAAGATCATGTTCCGAAGCCTTCTTAATCTTTAATTATTCTATTACTTATATGTAGTAATAAAAAAAAAGTGTTAACCTTTTTTAGACTTGCCAAATCTCAAACTTTGCCCCATTTCAGGTATTTTTCCTAATAACTATGAATCAGTATATCCAAGCGTACTTCGTACATCCTCCCAAAAAACTTTTCCCTCCTGAACAGCAATTTTGTAATTCAAGATTGAAACCAAATAAAAAAAAATCTGTAACAGCTGATATATAAACTGAGAACACCAAGCTTTTTGTGAATAGTTTTAGTAAAAGATGGCCTTTCTTTTATAGAGTATTATGTTTTAGAGCAGTGATTCTCAACCTTTTTTACTTACCTAGTTTAAGGTAATAATTTTGAATGTAAAATAAAATATGCACTACATACTTGCCAAGTCTCCTGTTTTTTAACCAACACTCAGGTATTTTATGACTGTGATCATATTCGAAGAAATTTCAAAAAAAATTTTTTTTTTATCCGCTGATGTCAGATGGTGCCATTGCCAGTACTGCAGCGTGTTGAGTGTTAATAGTTTAAGTAATAATAAATAATACTTTAAAAAAAATCTTTTTTAGATTAAGATTTATATACATATTTTTTACTTTGCTAAATGTAAGTGTTCCAATTTTGAATTTCTCTTCTTGACTTACATGATATATCAAAACTTCACTTGTAGCCTAAAAAATGTTGCTAGTAAAATCTTGGTTATTTTATTTGTTTGATGTTTTCAGGTATGCACGCTCATAATTACACAAATATACGTTTAAAAATTGTAAGATATTGCCAATTAACATTAAATGATTGCTTCCCTATTTGATAAAAGTTGCCTTTTTTAAATTAACACAGCTATAAATGCAAAAGAAAAGGTTTCACTGTTTATTTTATTAATACTTATTTTGTATTTATAAAGTATTTTATTTATTTTGTATTATTCAAAAATATTAATTTAAAGCATTTGTTTTAATGCTTTGTATTTTTCATGTTATTAACATTTGGTTTGTTGAATACTTTTTTTAGTTTTGGTGCAATTATCCCATCCATGATGATGAAAGTGCTCACAAAAATTAATAACCCACCAAAGGTAAGGTGTCCTGCTTTATAATTCAGATCTCATTGATGGAGGCAAATTAATAAGTTCCATTTCTTTTAAATTTTAGGTGCATTCCAGCTACAAAAAACTAAGCAAGTCTGTAATTGAAAATATTGTTGCCGATTCTTTGGGAGATATGCGGAATGCCATAAATTCTATGCAGTTCATGTGCATGTCTTGTACGTTATCTAGATAATGATTCTAATTTTTATAAATATATGATTCTTGTGTGTGACAAAATTGATTGTGATTCATTTTGTGTGTGACAAAAATACTATGGTCTAGATAGGGTTATCTTGGAAATGACTTTTATTTTTATTGCATTTTTAAAAATAACTTAGAAACATTGTTAAAGTTTATCATATAATGCTTTTCATTATTATATGATAGACTTTAATTAATGCATATAATGATAATGATTCTAATTTTTATAAACATTTGATTCTTCATTTTGTGTGTGACAAAAACACAATGGTTTTGATTCTTAGAATTGACTTCTATTGCATTTTTAGAAATAACTCAGAAACATTGTTAAAGTCTTATCATATAATGCTTTTCATTATATGATGGACTTTCCTTAATGCATATAATAATGATGATTCTAATTTTTATGTGATTTTTTATTTTGTGTGTGACAAAAGCACTATGGTTATAATAGGTTTATCTTGGAATCGACTTTTATTTATATTGCAGTTTTAGAAATAACTTAGAACATTTTTTAAAGTCTATAACATAAAAATAAAGAAACTTTAAAGTTTGTTCCCTTAAATGTTTATATATTTGTAACACTAAATTTTTCAGCAACAGATTATTTGGAGACCATGGCTTTTTTTTTTTATCTTGGTATTGAATATGAATGTCTGCTTATTTTTGAAAATATTCGCACAATTTGTTCAAAGCTATTCTTTCTCAACAATGATTACCATCAAAATAAATGTTGAAAATGCATCACGCTCATATTTCTGTGCTGTTTTCAGAAGTGCAAATCATTACAATTTCTCCATAATTATTATGATTTTGTTGACAAAATAAGGTTGATATGGTCACTTATGATTAAGAAATAAAAATTATGGGTTTTAAAATTTTTGGTTTTTTGCAAATAATTTACTTTTTACTCCTTTTAACAATTTGAAAAACAATACAAATATAGAAAAGTATAGATCATATAGGAGAACAAAAGAACTTAAACTCAAATGTGAAATGCTGTGAGAAAATATTTTTAGTGATTTAAGTGCAGTTGTCTAAAAAGGTAATATGGGTTAGTTCAAAAAGTAGAACATTGATTTCAAATAATTAATAAAATTGTTTATTTTTTACAAATGAAGTATAAAATTTTAGTGTCATATATTTTTTAATTTAATTGCCAAGGTATTGATTTTTTTTATTTTATAAATATATACCTAAATATATTTTTTATACATATATAGAATTAAGTTATATATACATCTTAGAATTGCACTATTTGGGAACATTAACTTGTATTGAATACTGTGTTGTTGTAAGGTTGAACTGTATTGTTTTTATGGAAATTAAATGAATGCTGAGCATTTTGCTCCTTCATAAACGACGCATCTTTCGAAGAAAAGAAATATTATTTTTATTTCAACGCACACCCTCACTGAAGAAAAGACTTTTATCTTTTTCACTTGAGTTACATTATTCATACCTGATAAGTCCTGTTTACCTGCATATTCTCAAATTTCTCCGTTTTTAAAAAAAAAAATGGCTATAAAATATATGCTAATGGCAAAAATACTTCTTATTTCTCAACAGATAGTACTATTGCCAGTACTGCAGTATGTTGAGTGTTAATAGTAAAAATATCTTCAGTGGTAGACGAATCACGGGTTAGAGTCCCCTTGCCATCAGACTAACCATGGGAGTTTTTCGTGGTTTTCCTCTCCATGTAACGCAAATGCGGGTTAGTTGCATTAAAAGGTCCTCCATGAAGACAAATTTCTCCCAGTACTTGATCCAGGAGTTCCTATGTCTTCTGGATATGGTTCAAAATTACAATTCTACGGAGCTGAACGTTAGTAGTCGTTTGACTTATATGATTATGCATGATGTAAAACTTTACGAGTAGCCTAAAAATGTCGCTAGTAAAATCTCCGTTATTTTGTTTCTCCTATGTTGGTAGGTATGGTACTACAAAAACAAAGTGTTTATTAGGCTATTTCGCCTTCTTTCCCTCACGTCGCCTTATAGTTCTTTTGTTTTTGCTAGTGAAATTAATTGTTAGCTTGTTTTTTTATAGTTAATGTTATTTTTTTGTGATTTCTTGTTAACTTGGTTTTTTGCTAATTATTAATTGTTAGCTTGTTTCTTTTGTTAGTTATCCTTTGTTAATTTGTTTTTATAACTATCAATTGCATGCATAGCTTATTTTACATCCTTCTGTAAGTTAATAAATTTAATAGTCATTAAATTTCCTACTTATTTTAAGATTGTCAGAGACGAGACTATTACCGACTAAGATGTTTACCTTGTTATAGCATGGAAAAATTATAAAAAGTATACATATATAGATATACTTTTCTTTAATTTAAACTTTACGTGTAGAAAAAAAAGCATTATAATTTTTACTATATCATTTTTAGAATTCGGCGGCACAGTGGTTGAGAGAGCAAACACATTTAAGAATTCTTTTGATGATGGGATCAATATAAATGGAATGGTAAAAAGTCAGTAATAGGGATGCCTATAAATCTGTGCTGGCAAATTAAAGCTAGCAGTATTCCTTACCTGTGAGAAAATATATGGCCATGTAACTAAAATCCAGTCTTGATTATTGTTACTCCTTATAGTTTCTCCCTTTTATTTTATTTAAAAAATAAAACTTCATTTCTTTTTGTACAGCGCATAAAAAGGCACTCTCTGAATAACTTTTGATCTAATTTTGTAGGGAGATCTAATTTTTTGTGCACTGTTAATTGACATGTGCATAAGTGATATTAACAAAACTGAAGATGGGCTCGCATTATCAGATTTAGTTCTGAAGAGGAAAATCTGGTTACTTAAAGATGTTTTATTTTTCCTAGTTAGCTTTTTTTAAAAAAAGAAAAAGTTCATGTCCATAATATTTTATAAGGAAAAAGAAATAGGCAATATATACATGTATTAAGCTTATAAACAAATTTCTTTTTAGTAAGGCTCAATTTGGTTCATGGCTTTGTGAGATCTGTCTGTCCCTGAACAAGAGCGACACTCGCAGAGCAAAGGCTGTTGATACAGTTTTTTGACAGTCGATCCATCGTGACAGGTGAGGCTGATGATTCTATCTTTGGTCTTGATTGGGAGGCAGCAGTTGCAGATACTATGGAAATCTCCTTCCACTTAGGAGAGAATAAAGACAGAAAATTTAGATAGAAATTCAAGTTAAAAGCCAAAGGAAAAATTTATATGCATACAAAAGTGCCAACTTTTTAAACTTGTTATCTGTAATAAAAATTTCAAATTCACAGGATTTTAAAGGTGTTTTTCCTATTTTGTTCTATATGTAGGCACCTAGTATTGGCTACATTGAGCTGGAATTTATTAATTAAAAAAAAGTAGCACTTATGCAAAACTCTGTCACTCATGGTAAGCTTATTTTTAACAGTTTAACATGAGAATTTTCAAAAACCATTATTTTATTACTTAATCCTGGCTCAGAAAGCATGTTAGTAGGCACCTTTGCATACATCAGACTACTTTTAAGAAGGACAAACTAAAAAAAGTATATTTTGTTCCACTTAAGTATAAATACAGAAAATTTTATCAATAAAGTACTCATAATAATTAGAGATCAATATATAGAATAATTTTAAAGTATTGTTGCATTGAAAAAATAGTAGTTAATATTCCCATATATCAATATTTAATTCTCGACATCCAGCATAACATTTTTGTACATAAATAATTGAGTGGTTTATTTATCACAATTTAGTTAAGATGGGCACAGTAGGCCTTGGCCCTCTATAGGCTGTCGTGCCACTGAGTTAAGTTTTAATTTATTTAAAAATTCTACGATATCACTGTAATTGGAATCAATCAAATAAAAGAGACAAATCTACATTCAGGTATAAGTAGATCAGATTTGTTGGCCACTCTTTCTTGCCTGAAAAGGCTAAAAAAGCAACTTTTCAGGAGAAGAAGACTTGCTTATTCCTAGCGATGTTTTTTTAAAATCATAAACAGTGTTGACTTCTGAACACCATGAATTGCAAGTTTGAGTTATCACTTTTTAATGCGCTCAATTTGCACAGATTCCATTGTAAGTCTATTTTGTATCTTGATCGCCTTATTAACGGTTATTGCTACGAAATTCTGCATGGTTTTAAAAAACCCATTTTTTAATAGGATATTATGATGCTTGAATTTCGAATTTGAGAAATCACTTTTCACGATACATATATACGTATATATATATTTGCTAAATCAATAAATTTTTTAGAAAAAATGTTTTTTTTTTATGAATTCTAGAAATTAAAAGTATTTAATTTTCTGCAAATTGTATACTAATTTTTTTGATGTAAAAATTTAGTGCTAGGACACTAATGTTTATATAAAAATTATCATATTTGCTAGCAACTTGACTAAACGGATTATGATATTAGACAGTTAAATCATTTAATAAAATTTTGGTCATATTATTGAAAAAATTTTGTTCCTATTTAGGCAACTATTTTCATGCTTTAGGCTACTAAAGGCAACTAATTTGTTAATTTTTTTCTGTTGTAACCCTGCAGGGGCACCATATTAGGTGGGCCAACATTGCTCCCACAGTAAGGACAGAATGAAAGAACATCCATGACTTGTCCCGGATTTTTTAATAAAAGACATTTTAAGAACTTTGAAAAAGTCAATTCTGGATGCAAGTGCCTGTATTATGTAGTGGACACTCCAAATGTTTGAACTTTTGAATTTCACATTTTTTACTGGCATTATTAGTTAAAATAAAAATTGAAAATCCTAAGTATAGAAACAGAATAAAAAATTTATTTTTTCATCAGGATAACTATGAAACTTGCATACATAAAGAATGGGATGTTTAAAACAAATCAGGATAATAGCTAAACATCAAGGATGAAATATTTTTTTTATCAAGATAACTATAAATCTTGCAAAGGCCCCTGGTAAAAGAACATCACTCCCCAACCACAAATCCTTTGAATTTAAACAACTTTTAACTCTACAGAACTTATTTCCTTTTTTAGTCACTATCACTCCAGCACTGAAAGAAGTATCAACCCATGAATTTCTGTTAAGCGCTATAAAATAATGTTAAAATAAGAAACAAATTTGCTATTTGCGGTTAAGCAAGAGATGGATATCCTTAGGGAGTGGTAATTGTTGTTCTAATCCATGATCTCATTAATCATTATTATCTTTATTAAATTTTTATAAATTTCTGTTCCCAGTGGTTGAATAGTGAGCCACAAGTAGCAAAACTACTGTAATTGCTACCTTTTGAGTAGTGTAGTGCTCTAAATTTTTAAAAAGGTAGTGTAGTGCACAAAAAACAGTATTTAACGATTCCTGGCAATTACTTTTAATGTTAGTTTAGTAAAAAAAAAAAGGTTCAAAAGCAACTAATTTTTCAAATTAGAGTGGTGCAATTTTTTGTGGGTTTGTCAATGGAGATAATGAGAATGCTCCTGTAGCAGAAGCGGTACTAAGAATTACGTGTTAGTAATATTCAAAGTAGCTCATATATCACTTGCAAATGAACACTTATGAAAGATGAATGTATGGAACATATTTTCTCTATAATATTTCATGCACTTTATTTCTTAAAGGAAATTTTTTAAAAAAGCATCAAACACTTAAAAATATCACAAAATGTATTGTTAATTTATTAATCTCTTGGAATTTCTTATATTAAATGTTAGTTGTCAAGAAAGGTATAAAAAGTTGAAGGTTAAAAGAACAAATTTGTAAAAAATTACTCCTCATGTTTAAATAAGCGCAATTTAAAAAATGACCTCTGCGGTATAGGATTTAAGTAATCATCCGTGACTACATATAGTTAAGTTTTATTTCGTTACAAAATTATAGAAATGCTGAGTCAACCTTGCCCAGCTCAAGGATCGAACCCAGGACCTGTGGCACGGTAGTGCGAAGCACTACCACTCAGCCACCAGGTGTCAATCTGGTTCCCATGTGAAGAAAAAAAAATCACATCCAGTGTGAATTATCACTTACAATTTGAGTAAAGGGATTCAGATGAACAGTATCCAGCACACTTAGTGAGATTCTTTAGTGCATCATGATTCATGCACGAGCCTTTAATTGGATCCACATATGTAAAATATCCTCTGGTTTCATAAGCCGCAACTTGAACGGGGTTGCATTTATCTAAAAAAAAAAAAACGATCAAATCAATAGTTTATGAAAGTCTTATTAGCAACAGATCAATAGGCAACATACCTGTTGTAGTTTTGCAGTATGAGCAGCATCCTTTTGGATCAGTTCTTATGTTTTCCTGTTAAAAAAGTTAAATAATGCATCAACTTAATCATTTCTCAATTAAAAATATTACAATTTATACTTGTTGCTTGAGTACATTTTTCTTATTTGTACTAGGGGTGGCAAGTTATTTCCATAGTGGAAGAACCCCCCCCCCTTTTTTTTTAAAAAAAAATTAAAACCTTAAAATTTTTTTAAAACAGTCTATGATTGCAATCTAATTTAAATTATGGTATAAACTTTCCAGCATTTAAATACATCATTTCTAAATAAGTGAAAATTAAAAAAACAATTGGATAAAAACATTAATAAATTTCATTTCAAAAACTGTAGTGTCTTTATGTTATGTGAATAAGTATAATAGATCCCTAACTATTATTATATATACTATTTTTATAATAATATAATCTAGATTAAAACAGAGGAAGTGAAAAAAAATTTTTTTTTTAACTTTCTGGTACTATATTAAGTTTAATTTGTTCAGATTTAAACTATTTTTATAATACTTATATTGCCACACAATTGTATTAGTCATTTTTAGTTTATTCCATTTTTCCAGCTTCTTCGGGAATAAATGGTTTCTTCTGGTTGAAGGTAAATAGGTATTTTTTTTTATGTTGCACTACAGCTGAACAATGGGCTATTGGCGAAGGTCTGGGAAAATTCCCTGAGAATGATCCGAAGACATGTCGCCGCAATTTCGATCATCTGCAGAGGGGATGGCTCCCCTGATTTGGTAGTCTGACGACCTGCGTACGAAGTTGAGCACTTTAAACAGTTTAACGAGTACCAATACTGCATACCATCCGTCCCTACGCAGGCGGATCAAAGTGGTCACCTACCCACTTACCGACCGCAGCCAATGATGCTTGACTTCAGTGTTCTACTGGAACAGTGGCTTTACAATCAGTTCACTGCGGGGCTTCTTCTGGTTGAAATTCCAACTCTGACTATGACCCAAATAGGAAGAAAAAAACACCGAATAGAGATCAATATAAATAATTCAATAAAAAATCTTACTAGAGGACAGTTTTCTGGCATAATTGGGCAGCTTTCTCCTTTGTAAGCTATATGAGTTCCATTTTCCCTCACTGTGCAGGTAGCTGTGTAACAAGGTTGAGACTTAGATATCCACGTTGCACCATCCTAAAGAAACACAAGCGTAAGATTTTTGCACCATTTTATAAAATGGCAAGAAAGTAAGTTCAGTGAGAAATAAACTTTCTATATAAAAAAATTAACTTTCTCTTTAATCAGTCCAATATATTTCATTCCGTTTGATGACCATTTTTCTGGTAACTTCACGATCACGAGCAAAGAATTCAACCAAGTGCGATTTTAGGTCATTTGTTTTTACTGAAATTTTTACCATTTAAAAAACTTCAAAATGACAGATGAGGTTAATTTCTGCCTTGATTTTCAAATAGATTGAAAACCTTTTAAGTTAGGAATCTATATGGAACTGAAAACTACTTTGAACATAGATCCAAAAGAAAGCGTTGTGAAAGTTTTAAAAAATATTTATGACAATTAAATATGAAAAATATTAAGATAGGGGGAACTATCATAGTACATTTCTATACAACTGAGAAGAGGGAGCCGCGATCGCCTTCCAATGAGGTGAACCGGGGTTTGGTCGATAGGAATTCCGCACCTGGCTTGCACCGACCACAGTGTTGGCGTGAAATATCCTCAATGGTAGACTGATCATAGGTTAGAGTCCCCTTGCCGTCAGGCTAACCATGGGAGGTTCTCGTGGTCTTCCTCTCCACGTAATGCAAATGCGGGTTAGTTCCATCAAAAAAGTCCGCCAAGAAGGCAAATTTCTCCCAGTACTTGATCCAGGAATTCCCTTGTTTTCTGGATTGGGTTCAAAATTACAAGGCTACGGAGTTGAACATTAGTCGTAAACCCAAAAATTGGGTCGGCTGTTCAACGACGGTTGACCGTTATAAAATTATAAAACTGAGGAGAGGAAAGGGTCAAGCCATGATACCCCAGATGACATATTGGAGCGTTGCAATCGCGAATAGAACAATCTTAAAAAATCTTTTCTATAATGAATCTGAAAAATTTGAATCAGGAGAATTACTTACATCATAGAGAAGTCCATCTTCTTCACATTGAGTTGGCACACACTTACCACAACACTTGTTAGATTCTGGGGAAGCCTCCGCATACACAGCCCACTGAAATGATGGAAATTATTATGGACGGAAGTAAATGTTTATTCATTCCATAACTAAATTTTTTTTAAAAGAATTCTGTATTATTTACAAGTGTGCTTACTTCCATTTCAAGTACAAAGGAAAATGAAAAATTTTCTGTTTTGAAATACAGGGTGATTATAACTAAAGTTATGATTTCAAAAATCGATAATTTTAAAACTACTCTGATATTTTAGCAGAACAATCATGAGGCAATGGATTTTTGTTTGGCAATGGAAAAAATATTTCTAAATCTGCCGATAGATGGCGTTGTCATAGGAAAGACCAAAAATGGATTCATTTTACACAGGTATGTTGTTAGCCGAAAGGAAACAACATAGTTTAGGGGTTTACTAAAAATTTATCAGTGAAAAGATAGGAACACGTACTTACAGCGACAACAGTAATAATGCTAAAAGAAAAAGAGCTTCATGGAACAAACATCTTACTGATGATTAAGACATAAGTTGTTCAATGTGCTCTTTGCCTTGTTCAGCTACTAACTGTAAGAGCAAAACGGCATGCACCACAACAGATCAGAGGGTATCTGTACTGATGCAATGGGTGTGGTGTGCAATGATCGAATTCAAGTCTGGAAGTTTCTCAATCCACCCGTTGTAAACAACGTTCTTCAGGTACCCCCAAAGCCAGAACTCAACGGGGTTAAATCTGGGAAACATGGCGGCCATGTTGTTGGATGATGATCCTATCATCTCTAAAAAAAAGAGCACTCAGAAGTAGCAATGTGTGGAGGAGTGCCATGTTGCATAAATATTGGGCTTTCCGCACACTGATGCTGCTGGAAGGACATGGTAAGGCATAAGTACTTCATACCACTTGCCAGTAACGATGCAGGTATCAGGACTTGCAGGTGTGATCTCTTAGGAAAAAAACGGACTAACGTAAACGCTGCCATTGCACAACACAGTGACCTTTTCAGAGTGAAGAGGTAATGGCTGCAGCTGGAACAGATTCTCGGTTGCCCAAGCTAAGCTAAGTTTACAAAATTAGTGCGATTATATATATATAATAACCGAAATATTTGCTCAAGAATTTTTACACTAAAAATGATTATTTTAATTTAAAATATATATGATGCACAGATCAACTTTTTAATACTAGCGTTCCCATACATAATAGAAAATTGATGTAAGATTAAGAATTACTGCATTTTATTACTATAACTTACTTCTGGGCACTCTTTTTGGCAATTTATAGTTTTCACCATGATGGCTGCTTCACCTGAAAAATCAGCCACACAGCTGTATTTCTTGCAAAAATCACCATCTGGAGAAGGCCATTCTAATCCAATCTAAAACATTAATATGAATATTTGATATCTGTACACAGTTGTAGTCTGTAAAGGCCATTCTTAATGTATATTTTCAAAATCTTTGTCAATCGTAATCCACGGCTCCAATCCTAAATGATTGAACTTTTTTTGGTGGAATCTCGACTTTATTCAATTCACTTAAAAGGCTCTTGATATGTAGCGAAATACACAAAAACTAAAATTAACATTAAGGGATCCAAACTTTCGAGCGCTCTTCTGATCAAACTATTGGAACCATATTGGTATCATACCAAGCCAAACTATTGGATTGCGGCTACCCCCTATATTTTGAGGATCAAAAATCCGAAATGTATGTTTATTCAGTTAAAGTACGTTTTTTGTGTCTGATTTCGTAACTTAAAATATCGTCTGCACTTATTAATTAGCAAATTTGAAGTCGCACCTTTGAGCTATTAAGATTGAGTCCTAGAACGTGAAGATCTGATCATTAGATCAATAGTTATTAAAGGCGGTCAATTTTTTTTTTTTTTGCACAATGCACATTATTGCTTCATCATTATATTATTAGTAAATAAAAACTTTTGTATTAAAAATATTTAAATAACTGGCTAAAAGTTTAAAGTGTTAATTGATCCATGTTTCTCTTTTGTTTATTTAACACTAAACATACCATAATCGGTCAAATCATCGGTTATTGTATGTTGCATTCTATTGTATAGTAAAGTGCTGGTATGTTTAGTGTTAAACTGATTTTTATACATCGCCATGTTTTCTTTTCTCACTTATTTTATTACAATATAAATTATATAATATCAGACAAGTAAAAGTATTATTTGGAAAGCATACCTGATATATGGTACCTTCTAACATGCAAGCAGTACGGCGATAGCTTGGACAACAAGCTCCTGGAATTTCTACCACTTCTCGAACATACTTCTACAGTGAAAATATATATGCATTAAAAAAAAAAAAAACTTTTTCACTTTAATAAATTCATAAAATTTTCAACGCTTTTATTAGGTGCAATAATCTTTTTAAATATGTTAACAACAGAAGTGTTTGTGTGGTTTTCAAAATTTTTGGTTAAAATATTTGAAAATGATTTGCTTAAAATAAGTTTATATGCATAGTTTTTTTCTTGATTTACATAATTGTTAAAGTTAATTTTTTTACAAGACAAATCCACTGAAAATTTATTTTTACTAATAAATTGATGTTTTACAGTCATGCTATACTATGCTAGAAATTATATAAAGTGTGCGGCACGTCGGCATAATTTCACTGTGACTTCTTACTTGAGGGCAAGATTATAAATAGAGTATTTGGGGAACATCAATTACACTATTATGTCTCAGAAGAAATATGCAAAAACTAGTTAGAACTGAATATTGATGATTCTAAGTGCCAAAGGTATCGAAGTCAGCATTCGCAGCACTTTTGTTCATTCAAGAACAGCAGTTATTAATGTTCATTTTGTTACTGTGCAGAAAATGTGGGCTAAACGTCAGAATGCTTAATCTGAAAGGTGCAGGATTGCCCCATCCACGGTGCATCAAATTGTGAGAAATCTTAACCAAGGAGCGACTGCAAAACTCTCTAAGCAAACTATTTCCGCACATTTCATCATATAAGCTAAAGAAGCTGATAACTAGTTCAAAATCCTCTGTTACCTGAATTGAACAAGTACAGACATCTCTAGTTCGCAAAGGAGTACAAGGATTGGTCAGTAGAGAACTGGGAAAGGGTCATGTAACCCAAATGAATCATGCATTCAATTACACTCTAGCATTGGTGTTATACCAGCTCTAATATTTTTTATTAGAAGACATCTATGACTTAATCATCCTATATAGTATCACTTTTTTCCTTCACAATCTTTTCATAAACCAATGAGAGTCAGACATGCTCTCACACTGAAGGATAGCGGTTTTCTCCGTCCTCTCAATTTATATGTTTCCGTTATTGTTTTAATAAATATTTTTAAATTTGTTTAACTGGACTATCTCTTTATTCATCATTCTTTGAATCACCTTCTTCATAACATCAAACCAACTGATTTAATGTGTAACTTTGGTGTTCCGTAGCTATTTCACCTTATTTACGCACCTTAACAAGGTATAAAATATTCAGTCATTTCCTACTCTATGCAAACACCTTTTCACTGTATAATACAAAACTGAAATTTGTGTATTTTTATTTATTTCTTCCTTGATTGTTGTTGCTGTCTTCTATTTTGAGCTATGTACTCTCGTGCTACAAGTCCTGGGTTCGACCCTCGGACCGGGCAAGGTTGACTCAGCCTTTCATCCCTTCAGTGGGTCGATAAATGAGTACCAAGCTTGCTCGGGAACTAAACATAGGGGGTTCCGTGTTCAGCTGACCACCTAACCGGAACATCTGCTCCTACACCCCAGAGCCCAAAAGGTCAAGAAAACTAAGATGGGCCTTGGCACTCTATGGGCTGTCACGCCACTGAGTTTAGTTTCATAACAATAAAGTGATGTAATAATATGCTAACTCAAAAAGAGTTTGCAAAATTTTTTTCTTTAATTAAGTAGCTACGAAAAATGTTGAACCAATTAAAAATTGCTATTGAGGTAATTGATGGAAAGGGACCACACAGGATCTAGGTATTACAGGGTCAGAGATGATTGTGCTCCGGAAAAAATCTGGATTTCCGAATTTTTTGTTAACCGCGATCCAAAAATCCAAGGTCTAGAAGTTTCAAGAAATCATCGATCACATTTATGTTTAAAAATTCTTGTATATTTTATTTAGAAATATAAGAACTAAAATGTATACTTGGCATCTCTTTCCTTGGTAAATATTTTTTCTTTTAGAATAATAAATGTGATTAGACATAAAAGTGAACTTATACATAATTATTCATTTAAATTATGCGGCGTATAATTTATTTAGAATTTCATGTTTTTAAATTTATGAAGACATTAATTTTTTGAAATGCGTCATTATTGATTTTACTCAAATTTTCAGGATTTTTGAGTTGGGCTCACAATCACCCCCGCAGAGTATACTCTAAATTATTGTCTTATAACTTATTGATGTTATAATTTATTTAACACTTATTAGATTTTTGAATATTATAAAAACTAAAAGCAATTAAAAATTTTAGCATCATTATAATATTTCAATCATGAATGTTTATGTGTAATAAAAGTAGGTTCACCTCAGCATCCGGCAGATCATGCATTTTAGGACATATTTCTTCTCGGCAAGTAGAAATAAATTGTCCTTCCATTTCCATGCACAAGCATTTGAAACAGAGTCCATCTTGCCAAACGGATCCAGCCTAGAAATAGAACAGTCTGTAAAGTCATAAACTTCATTAAACCTTTTACGTTACATAGTATGGAAAAATGTATTGCAAGTGTAGATGAAAGCATATTTCGTATTATATCATTCATATGTATAAAACTAGGTTATAGTGTTAGAGTAGATGAAATTTTAGAGTTGGAANGTATTCGGCCTAAAATTTGGCCGAATATTCGATATTCGGCCCCATCACTATTCGTTACATCACTAAATAAAAGTAGGTTCACCTCAGCATCCGGCAGATCATGCATTTTAGGACATATTTCTTCTCGGCAAGTAGAAATAAATTGTCCTTCCATTTCCATGCACAAGCATTTGAAACAGAGTCCATCTTGCCAAACGGATCCAGCCTAGAAATAGATCAGTCTGTAAAGTCATAAACTTCATTAAACCTTTTACGTTCCATAGTATGGAAAAATGTATTGCAAGTGTAGATGAAAGCATATTTCGTATTATATCATTCATATGTATAAAACTAGGTTATAGTGTTAGAGTAGATGAAATTTTAGAGTTGGAAAATTTACTAAACTCCAGTTAGTTATAAATTAGGCTCTGTTGCTTAAAAGAGGAAAAAAAAGCTTTTGATCTTATGAAAGTTCCAAATTTGGATTTTTTTCACTTAAAATTACAGTTTTCAAAAATTTTTTTGTCACTTTAAATTTAAATAAAATAAATTAAAAATTATTTTTACACTGGATTAGTGCATTTTGAAATAGAATTACCCTTTTTTAAAAAAATTAGCTTAAACAGTTATGGAGATATTTCCATTCATGCAAAAATTGAAAATATCTTCAGGGTTCAGAAAATACTTTCCGCTTAAAATATTGAAGCGTATTTTCCAGATTGTTTAAACCTTCTCCCCATTTCGTGCATAAAATAATCCAAACCTGTTTATTCAGAGAAAGTGCATTTTTGTGTCATAATTTTACAATAAACTGCACGAGAAAAATAGAATATTTAAGGTTAGTCCATGAAAAAAACATACATCCAAGTAAAATGAAACTTTAACACTGTTTTCAGTGGTATCTTTTATTTTAGTTCAAATTTTTACGATGTTAAAGTTCTAAGCAAAAAAAAAAATAAAATTTATAAGGGTGGCTACAAACATTCAGAAAAACGATTCCCCGACTTTTCCAGAGTTATTCTATCAAATTTCCCTGAGTTTTATTACTGGTAACATTTTACGTATAACCTTATCTTTATGCATTAAATGTATTTCAAAAAAACACTAATACTGGTTATTAGAGTTGGAAATACACAATTGTTTTTTAAAAAAAATCATAATAAGACAAATATTTTTTGCATACATTCGTTACTTTAAATTCAATTGAATTTATTTTTCCTGATTTTTGGGGTATTTTCTTTGAATTCCTAGACATTCCCATGATTTTACCAGATTCATAAAATTCCTGGGTTTTTTTCCAGTTCTGTGGCCATCCTGTTTAGCGACAATAAGTTTTAAAAATTAATCAGTCCTAGCAGGTAACATTTTCGTTCAATCAAACCCCTTACTCAAAATGCTCCACATTCCCTGCCTTTATCTGAAATAGAACAGGTGTTTAATACCTGATATTCCATATCGTAGAGCTGTTCTGGGAGAAGTTCAATCTGTGTACCATTTATGACATCGTATTTGTGTTGATATACACAAACATCGTTTCTCGGGACGCAAGTGTATTTTTCACAGCATTTTCCCTGGTACTTGGAAAGTTTGAAACCAGGTCCACAGGCAGGTGGTGCACGACAGAGCTCTGTATAACATTTGGTTACATAACGCGGGCAGCAGTCCTCAGTCTCGATGGTGAGATCTTCACCTTCTTCCAGCAAAGGTCCAAGCAATGGTGGACACAACTCTGGCATGCATTCTATCAAAATATTTAATGAAAATAAATCGTATAATAGTAAAATTAAAATATTTAATAAAGCTATCAGGGTGCGTAGCCAAATCTTCCAACAAAAAATAAGCACCTTTTAAGCACTCAAAAAATATTTTTAGGCACTATAAACATTAAGAAAATACAAAATAATTTTCAAAGACTCTACATGATCATGATAAGATAGTTAGTTTCTGACAAAGAACTCTTTTTCTTGATTTTATTAGCCACTATAAAATGATCTAGAGATTTTTCGGTTCAATATCAGAGGGTGGAAAATGAAGCCTGAAATTGACAATATCTTGCAGAATGCAGTAGAGCTGCAAATGAGAGTGCAATAGTCTCACCAAACCCAGCTCAGCAGACGCATATGTGGAGTCGCAAGTATTTCATCAGGTAAAATGATGGGCACTTTCATATGCTATGGACCGACGGTAAGCCGAAATAGATTGTGGTGTACTGAATTATGGAAACGTTGAATAGAACAATGTGAAAAGCTTTCGCATAATACGTGGTGAAAATCGACATGGTAAAGAAAAAAAATCTCATTTTCGAAAAGGGAAAATTAAGCATTTTTTAAAAACACCAAATAAAAAAGCACCTTTATGGTGCTTTAAAAAACGAAAATCAAAAATAAGCACTTTCTAAAATGCTATGCACCATAACTATACTAGATTGATATTTAGAGGAGAAAACTTTGTTTGACCAATTTTGAACATTAAGGAAACTAAATGTTCACACACTTTTGATTTCTTCAGTTCAAAATATTGAAAATTTGGAATCACACAGAGAATTTTAATTACTAGATAGTTATTATTTATATATTTTTTATTTTTATTTTCAATAAATGAAAGCATATTTTTTATTGCAAAACATAAAATTTGAAAAAGACATGGAAGGTAATTTCAGTTTCCAACACTAGGATGATGATGCACGATATAAATTAAAAGATCATGTTTTTTTTTTGTACTTTAAATACAAAGATCTTTTTTCAGACAAGTATGTACAGATTATTGTTAACATGGGTATAGCTATTTCAGACCTCGAAGTAAGCCGAAAAAAAAAAGACATTTTCTGGAACAGTTTACATTTACCATTTCAAAAGACTTTTAAAAAGGGTAAACGAAAAACTTAAAAAAGTATAACTTGCTCTACTTAAGCATAATAAAGGCAAATTTTATTGCAGAAGTTATTATTATCATTAAAGGTAATTATTATTGCTGAAATTAATAAAAATATTATTATTAATTTCAGCATTACTTTATTTAGAACAGAGTGTTTAACAGTTTTCCATAATTTTATGAATGGAGCACTGTACAATTCAGAATAGTTTGAGAATCAATATATTGAAAGTTTTCATAGTACTGTTCCAATACAAGAAATTACCAGTGTCAATTAGTGGTTTCTATTCCCACCTTGCTAATAAAACAAGTTAAATTGAATTTCAATAATTATGATCCCTGGGCATTGAGGGTGATGATATGTTTAAAATGTTTTTAACAGGTGGTAGACCAGTAAAAGAGAAATGAATTCCAGGTCAAAATAGGATGAAATTTAGAGGGTATCTTTTATAATCTGGGCAATCAATTTATTTACAGCAAAATTATATTTAAAAGATATTTTGAGATTTGAATATAGGATTACTTACTGCATAGATACGAAGGGCAGCCATCTATATGTTCTACGATGTTTGATTCTCCCTCTCTGCACTCCAGGGGATGAATATCTGGACACTTGAGTTCTGCTATTTCGACTTAAAACAGAGAAATATTCAGACATTACTATTTTGATACGTGAAAATCTTTTAGACCAGCAGGTTTTTGGATATAGAAGTAAAAATTATCTTTAAAGTAATGAAAGCATTATAAACCGGAATGCTCTACTTATGTTTATTAATATCAAACACTTACAGTGGGATATCAAAGATCCTTCGTGTAACAAAAAATGCAATTTCTTCATATATACACATACATATACATACATGCACATCACACGTATATGTATGTTTGTGTGCGTTTATTTATAACTAATATACGTATGTACACGTTTGAGATACTTCTGTCAGTACTTAGTCACTGGATACCGTTAAACGATTAAAAAAATTATAACGATAAAAAAAAATTTAAAAGAATAATATAAAGATAAAAAAAATTAAAAGAAAATTATTATACTTAAAAATAAATTGGTTTATAAACCAATTTGGTGTTATTNTGATGAAGGTTGCCCTTTGAGCATCCAAAACAGCTGTCTGCATTTATAAATATTTGTTGTGCTCTCAAACGTTGTTTACCTTAGTTTATACTGGATTGATATCTGTTCTGTAGAATAGGTAACATTTGCAAATTTTTTTTAGTTATTAAATGAGTTTAAATTATTAAATGTAACTAGAAAGAAAATGAATTTAAAAAATTGCAAAAGTTCATAATAGTAAATTAAAATTCTAATCAAAAAATCAAAACAGAAACTGAAATAGAAGTACAAAGGACAGTCTGCATTACGCACGCTTTACAGACGAGGAAAGGAAGGTCTATTGGCATTCATTTACATAAATATTAAGATCAAGACCAGTGACAAAAGTAATCCAAAAACATTTTTTTTAATAGAAGGAGAACATTAGGTTGAGTCCAAAAGATGGAAAAAAATATTAATTTTTTTTAACCTTACAAGTTTACTTAAACTCTGAGATTTTAAAATTTAAAAACTAATGTTAATTTTTTTTAAAAGGGCAAAGATTTTTATACTTTCACTCATAAAAGTACATGGTTACAAAATATTAGAATTTTACTAAGAATATTTTTTTTTCTTTAAAGCAATAAAACTGCTAATATAAAATAACTTCAAAACTAATTCGAAATTTAATTATTAAAAAATTTAAACTTATTTAAATAGTGTGGGACGTGTTGCTATTTTTTAAACAAATGAGTATTTAGGAGGAAGAAAAATCATTCTCTAATAGTTTTCACTAAACTAATTAAGACAGAAGCAGTGGGAAAAAAAACTTGAAATTTTCTTAAAATAACTCAATAACCGATGACTGCACTAATAACATTTTGATAACCAAACAGTCTTTAAACATTTTTTCTAGAAATGTGCAAAGTTTTATATTGTTTCAGTTAGCAGTTTTTGAGCTAGGGCTATCAGAAGCATGTTCGGCAAACACTTTCTGAAACAACGGCAGTAATCTACTTATATATATAGAATGATATCCAGTTTCTTTTGCATTTTGTTTACAAGACCCTTCATTTGAAGGTTTTAATTTTTTTGACAATTTAAAATATACTTAAGCATATTAAGGGGGGTGATTATGGAACAAGTATTTATACCAGGGGTTTCCAACTTACATGAGGCTGGGGACCGCAATTAAAAACACCAATCAAATGGCGGGCAGCAACTTTATCAAAATTTTATATAGGACTCTTTTATGTTCTAAGGAACATTAAATATTACTGTCAGATTTTTATCAAATAGTACAAAACAAAAGTATTGAATTACAAATTAAAATAAGAAGGAAATTTTTACCTGAGAAAATAATTTTTTTGGCATTGTTGGTTTGTTAAATTTCACAGAAACGAAGAAATTAGGTTTTCTTAAACGAAAGAAAAGTATTTTAAATGCATATAGATTTTTTACGAAAATTATCAGCAAAAAAATGACAGTTTATATATTTTAGTTCGGGGGCCACAAAAAAGGCTTCGTGGGCCGGATGTGGCGCATGCATTAAATAATTTTTTGAAAACAATTACAATAAATATTAGGTACTTACTATATAATAATACAAATTCTTACAGAGGTTTTAAATAAATAGCAATGCAAAATGAAGAAAAGCATTATAGAAACACTTACCACATCGATATGTGTCACAACATGTGGTGTCATTATGCTGCACCTTGTTTAGTGTCTCTTTTGCGGAACAGATGGGGGGCTCAGGACATTGAATAACAGTACACTTTGTGGTGAGGTCTGCCATACATTCGCACATTTCACATGGACCTAGACTCCAAACTTCTCCGACTACATGTCCGAAAGCATCACAGGTTTCACAGGTGATGGAATCGACACACTTTCCTAAGTGATAAACTTGTTCTTCTGGACATTTGCAAGTGTATAATGGAAGTAGATCGCAATCGTCTGGATGATAATTTTTGTAGTTGTCACATGTCTTTGGACAAGCTGAAGTGCACTCATAAGTCATACTTTCCTCTGGACATGTGTTTTCTATTTTTTTTGAAGAAAAAAAAAAGGAATATGTATTTAGAAGAGTAAAATTCAAACATTTGCACAATGGACTTTAGAAAGCAAAAATATTTTTATGATGCAGAATCTGCATTTTCAAGTACACATCTCAGGGATGAGATTAGCCGAAAGGCAAAAACGCTGAATTTCCACAATAGCAAATTTTACGCAAGCGCAACCCTTTAATAATAAATTCCAGACAGTTTAAGGTAATAAATAATGTGTTGACATACAATTGTGTACTAATCTATTATTATATAAATGATTACATTGATACTTAACATTTAGTGAAAATAAAAATTACCAATTGAAAAAATAAAGCTGGAAATTATATTTTTCCTCAGTTCACATAAGAGACAATTATTACTTGAAAAACTACCTGGTTTAGCAAATTAAAACTACTGAGAATATACATTAATATTTCATTTCTTTTAATAAATACT